CTTTCTAATTAAATTGAATAAAGAAAAGGATATTACGACTGTCATTTTTTATTTCAACAGTTAAGAATGTTCGGATCAATTTACACGTGCCTCAATTAATTTTTTTTTTTGTCCGGTCAAAGATAGATCATTCACACTAGGACTAAGGTATTAATCAGGGATAAATCTCTTATAACCTGATATCAAAAAATTATCAAAATTTAAATTTAAAATATCTAAATTTACAATTCACCTCTATCGTCACATCATTTATCTTAAATTTATGCCCACTCTTTACCTTCGTTACATTGGTTGCTTGAATCGTAGGGCTTGAGTGGTTGATGGGCCTATGACTGCTACTTTAGTATTCTACTAACCCTTAAGGTTGGCTTAGTCACAGTGGAACTAAGATTTCGTTGAGATTGACTTTTGCTTGGGTTTCATTGCCTGTGTGACAATGCCTTCGGCCTTTGCTAGTGAATTCTGTCGTATCCAAAATTATAGATTTTAAAACATCAAGTTAAAATTATTTTTGATAATTTATAATAAATTATTAAATATATTACAAATAATTATATTTTCATCCGTATAAATTAATTATAAATATTCTCCATTTATAATTATTAGCAATGCAAGACGTACATTGCGCGCAAATAAATTTAAATAATTTTTATTTATAAAAAATGTGAATTATATATAATTAAATTAAATAATAAATTAGGTGTCAAATAATTAATTTTTATTTTTAATAATTAATCTATCATTTTTTAAGGTATCTCTTTAATCCCTTAGACCATAGTTTTAAAACCCGGCCCAGACACCAACCCGGAGAAGGGACCGGGTCAATGGATTTCTGGTTCAACCACTGGATCACTGGTCGAACCGGTGATATAATAAAAAAATAAAAAATAATTATTAATAATGATAAATAGACTAAAAAATTAAAATAGTTATAAAAATAACATGTTTAATATATATTAAATCAAACAAAGTTATCAAGCCTAAATCACTTAATTGCATTCAATTAACAAACCAATGCATTCAATTAACAGCCCAGCCTCTACCCTCAAACTTGAATCACTTAATTGCATTCACTTAATTTTTGAGTTAACAAACACTGAACGAATGATTTAGGATTTTGGACAAAACAGAAGGGGAAAAAAAAGACACAAAAATATAAAAAAAAAAAACATATTTATACTAAAGGAACAAAACCGGCCGGTTTTGTAAACTCGGTCCGATTTTCACAGGTTACCGGTTTTATTCCAGGTTCTTTGCTCAAACGGTCCAATTACAAAACCGGCCCGGTTAGGGGACCGGTTCACCGAGTCAACCCGCCGAGCCAGGCCGAGTTTTAAAACACTGCCTTAAACATTTGCACATCTAATTATATTATATAATTATTAGATTTATTTTATTAAATAGATTTATTAGATCGTTTATAATATTATTATACTATTTATAACTCGTGCCTAAAGGCACGATAAAATATAAAATTCGAGCATCTAAAAAATCGATACCACTATATTAATTTTTTTCAAAATACATTAACTACAAATTAATCAAATGTTAAATGATTAAATATATGATATAAATGAATGATGTGATATTTTTAGGGAAGAAATATATAAATAATTAAATAGGTGATAAAAATGAGTGATACGATTTGACGTTTGAGTTTGACAAAGAAAATGATAGGTGAAGTAAGTGATTAGTGATGGTTTTGAGGAGAAAAATATGACTGAGACAAAATTTAAACACATTTATATTTTATTATATAGATTATTACGTACCAAAAAATAAAATAAAATATATATTTGATCGTAAAATTCAATATGATAACTATATGTGTATAATAATTTAATATATATAAAGCTTTACTTCATATAAATATATAAATTTACATATAATTATACTACTGAAAAAATGAGTTTAAAAAAATTTAAAAATCCTTATAAAATAGTTCAAAACAAATTGAAAGTCAAATATGAGTAAAAACAATAAAAATTAGACAAAAGTATAAAAATTGATATAAAATTGATTTTATTATAATAATTAAGGATAATAAATCAAAAAAAAAAATTAGATACTGATATCTATATAATAAAGTAACTTATAATTCAAATTTCAAAAAATAAACAAAATGACTTTTGCTTTTCGTGATTCAAATCGCTTTAAATTTTACTTTAAAGTTAATCTAAAAACTAATATTAACACTCTAAATTTAATAGGAAAAATATGATCTTAAAGGTGTGTTTGGAGTGACATTCTAATAATACTTTTAAAAATTATTTCTTAAAAGTACTTAAAAAAAATAGTGTTTGAAACCATCTTATAACTACCTCTACCACCACCGCCGCCACCACCACCACTATCGCCGCCACCACCATCACCATCGCTGTCATCACCACAGCCATCGCCTCTACCGCCGTCACTACCACCACTTCTGCCCATCAACTCTTACCCCCATTACAACCGATGCTTAAATTTATTTATCTCTCATTAATGTTTGTGATTTGATTTTAGATATAAATACAAATATGTTTATTGTTTTCTATTTTTATTACTCTGTGCCTTCAGGTACAAAACATAACTAGTTTATAAATAATATAGATAACTTAAAAATTATATTATAAAATTTAATATAGTATGTCTGTTGGTATCATAGTCTTCCTCCACGTGAATAGATACCGTGTGCCATTGTCTTTGTATTTGGACTAGCGATATTACTTGGAAGCTAATCTAATCGATCAGGACTATTGATTTAATTATGAGTCTCATTATTTATTAAAATTCACTATCAATTCAATTTAATGATTTTAATCAATTTACTTATGAGTTTTAATATTTATTAGGATTCATTATCAATTCATTCAAAGATTTTGATTGATTAACTAGGAAATATAAGATTTAACATATTAAATTTCAAGGGGGTTACCTTAGTGGTAGTTTAACCACCCGATAAACTTCTAACGAGGGATAAATCAGGAATTCAAATATCCCATGGAGCCTAATCTTTTATAGTCATCGTCCATTGAAAAATAAAAGGGAAATATTTCATTTACCCTTGTAGTTAGGTCTAAATTTAATGACACTCTCTTCCTATTTTAAAATTTCATTGCACTTTCTTCTAGTTTATACTGTCGAATTATGGATACCCTATAACAGTAACTTTCGTCTTTGACGGTAAATAAAGTGCATGAGTGCTAAAATTACCCTCTGATTTGATAAGTAAATGATATATTTATATCTAATGAAATTATTTTTTACACAATAAAATCATTCAACATAATAGGGTCAAAAATAAATACCAACAAAACAATATAAAAAATAATAATTTTAACATGTTACCAAAAAAATAAGATTAATTATAGTCATTTTCAATTGATTCCAATGAATTTTTAACATTTTAAAGTATTATATGATAAATTTTTTATAAATGCTATGAAGAATATATATATTACGTGCATTGCATGTGAATACTAGCAACATGTGTGTTGCAAGTGAGGGTGTTGCAAGTGAATAAGTTTTGTACATAAAAATTTGATAAAAAGTACTAGATACATGTGTGCGTAAATTAAATATCACGTCAAGTTTATCAAATTTATTTTTTTATCGCTTAAATTGTATTATAGAATTATGAAGACTTTGTCCGTCCCAACGATTCATCTGTTTAACTATAAAAAAATGATAAAATAATAATAATAATAATTAAAATTATATTTTTTTAAAATTTTGAGATTGAAAGTAGTTTTTTGAGTGATGTTTCAATACTGCTGACTATAATGATGCATATATTTTTTAAGGGTAATAGAGTCAATTAAATTTTTTTTATATATACTAATATTTATACATAGAGAATAGATAATTATAACAGATGTTAGAAGATAATTTGAAAATTTAAATATATAAAGATATGATAATAATTTTGATATTTTAACTATGCAATGATAGAATAATCTTTACAATTCTCTATAAGTGTAAAATAATGAATCAAAAGTTTTTCATGTTAATTTATTAGTAATATAGATATAGATTAGTCATCATATTATTATTATTATTTTAGTTACATAATCAAATTTTTATAAATAAAAATAATTTTTTTATAATCGATAAAGTTAATGTCAAAGTCTCACCTATTTTCAACTCTTTTGCATCATTTGTGCACCAGGAGTTAATCCATTTAGCTGTTAAAAAGTTTGGGTTACAATTATATCTTCAAAGTTTAATTATTTCACATTTATGATCTAAAAAATATTTTATTTATTAATACTTGTTAAATACCTTTCAATTGTGTTGTGTCGTATTCAAATCAATAAAAAAAATTGATATAAAAAATATTTTCGAGTCGAGTCAATTGCGTTGTGTCGTATATTTTACATTTACAAACCATTTTTATAGTATTATTTAAATTTTTTTAAAAATTATAAAATACTAATTTTTTACCTATAATACTCACTAAATAGCTATTTTCTATCTAAAATTAGATATGAATCTTTTGACTATCCGATCAAATTAAAATTATATATGAATAACGTGATTTAACGATTATTATAGATTGAAAATAACTATTTAATGAGTATTGTAGGCAAAAAAAAATATATTTTTTAATTTTTTTAAAAAAATTTAAAAATTTTTTTTTTAATGGCTTGAACATGACACAAAAATATTATCACACAACACAATTAAAAGCTATTTAATGAGTATTAATGGATAAAATTCTGTTTGGATTATAAATATAAAATATTTAATTTTTGAAAGTACAATTTATAATTAGTCTAAATTTTTTAAACTACAAATTAGAAGATAGTTAGCTTTAGATATATATTGATACGAATTTATATTTTTTAGGGTATAAATTAATATTTTTAACTTTAAGGGTTGTAAATTAATATTCAAATAGTCTTTTTAAGGTTGAAGTTGAGATTTAATATTTGACGACGTCAATCCAAATGTACAGCAATAAAAGTCAGCAAAGTACAAAACTAAAAGGTAAGCAATTACGTAAGAAAATTAGGTTGAATTGAATTGCTCTTTCTTATTAAGAGTCTTGTTTTCCACTCTCGTAAACGGAAAGTAACAGAGAAGTGCGAGAATGGAAGGTCTGGCGAGACACGCAGCATCGGCGACAAGCCCAATCTCTCATCTCCCGAACTTTTTCAGCTCCTCAGTTCAAAAAAGTCTCACTGCCTTCAGCTTTCGTCCTTCCAAATCGCCGTCTGGAGTTTCTTCCTCTGTTACAGTGGTTAAAGCAGCAGCCCAAAGCCAAAGCTACTCGGAATCCGCCACTTCAAGTACTGCGTCCCTGATGAGACAGAGACGTCCTCAGAACGTCGGCGGAGAGTTCTTTGTCGGTAACTACTCTTCAATTTCTTTTTTCCAGTTTATTCTGTGACTTCTTGTTATTGTGCGTCCAATTTTCCCCAAATTTTTTATGTTAGGTGGAAATATGTTTGCAGAGTCAGTCGAATAAGTACTAATTTACTTGTTATACTTTTGGATCTTATATGAGTCTGTTTTTAATTTGCAGACCACACATGCATAGATTGTGATACTTGCCGTTGGATGGCTCCGGTAATCATTCAGACTTCACATCATATAAATTTTATCACACAATGCTTGTAGATGCTTGATACACTGTGCACAACTTTAATTTTTATTGCACTAATTCCATATCAGAACCATGGGATTTGGTTGTTCGTTTTGTACATAATGTGAGAAGAAGTGTACTTACTTCGATCAAGTGGAAGGGCAGCTTGTCAAGCTTGCCTAGAGTATTTATATCTTTCTATTCAAGGATACGCAAAGCAATTTCTCTCTTGACATGGTGTATGGTTAGTTGACGAGAAAACTTAGAGCCGATAGAAATAATCATAGATCGGGGTAGGTTTTATTGGGTAAGATTTCTAAAGTGCAATTGAGATTCAAAGATTGGGACTTCCATTTTTCAGATATTCCAAAGAATAGACTTCATCTCCAGTAGAACCAGTGCATTATGAGAAAAGATGGGAATCAGAAATATTTTTATGGATCTTGGGAAGTTTTATGATCCAGCTTTATTTTAGCCCTTGTTTTTCTCTATACTTCAGAAAATTTTAGTATCATTTTTAAGAAAATTTCGTAGATATGTTTACATGATGGAGTCATATATCATGTGCAGAACCACGTAAAAACTTTCAGCCTTATATCTTACACTACGCCTCACATAAAAGTTCTTTTGTACAGAACCAAGTAAAATCTGGCGGTAAAGGTGTCAAATATTTAAAAGTTGTTCATTTCAGGAAATCTACACACGAGTTGGTGACATGTCAGCAGTCTCCAAGCAGCCAAGTTGTGAAGAAGAACGGCTAAAGGCTCTTCAGGTATCTATTTATTTTACTTCATATTACCGTAGCTCACGAATGCTTTCAGCCTTCATGTTTAGAGCACTGGAAGAGTTGATGAAAAGAAAATGCCTCGACTCCATTTTTCAAAGTTTTGTGCTGCAAAAACATTTATAAAACACTCGTTAGTATGAACTCAAGCGTGTTTGTGCTATTTTATATAATTAAATGGCCAATACGGAGGTTTTATTGCAAACCCCAAAACGTAGATAATCCATGTGTGAAGTCCTTATTTATGTTATAATATCACACGTAAGTGTTGTTGTTGATGTAATATCAAACATTTGGAATTATTCAATTCCATAGAGAAATATGCAAATGTGCTCCTAACCGATGCAATAATTAGAGGTGCAAAAGTATTAGATAATGAAATTACTGTTAAATGCTTCGGCTTTAGTCTGTTCTTCTATTGCAATGAGAGATTCATTGTATTGAGAAGCTCGCTTGAACTACCTGAATGTATTGGCTAACTTCAGTTTTAGGGGATAATGAGATACAAGTATCAAACCAGTTTGAGCTGATTGATATATATACTTGACAATTTTGAGCTGATTTTTGTTATGATGAACGTCATCGTTATTCTTTGACAATACTCGCTAAGTCTTGGCAAATCTTATTTTATAGTTTCAAAAGTTGGTCAATTCTTTAACTTCATTTTGTGAGCCTCACTGTCTAATATTGACTTGCTAATGTCCCTAGGCCTTACTTTCCTGTCCCACAAGCTCAATCCACACAGAGAAACCTGCTCGTGATATTCTAGAAGTTCAGAAGACATTTCCAATTCCAATTAATGAGCAGAGAATTCCGGTAACTCATAATGCCCGTCATTGTTCCTCATTGAGATTTGTAAATAGGAAAAAACTCATATAGTGATGTTATATTACACTTTTATTTGACAGAAACTATTTTCAATTCATGTAGGGTAGTAGATATGGGTGGAAATAGTATGTAAAGCTTTAGAGTTTAGGCAAAGAGCCAGAGTTTGAAAGATGCCATGTATTTGCGAGTCAATGGCGTGCCATTACCTCCCACTTGGGATAAATTGAATGATGGTTAAAATCAAATAAGAAATTCAATTCCATTTTGCTAAAGGGTATATGATTAGGGAAATATGTCTGGAGTGAGGTGACTATGACTATTAAAGCAAATGTTTACTGGCTGCTGATCCTCCCCTTCTTGGTGAAAAGGAGCACATATTTTGCAAATACAATAGTAAACTTTCCACATGATATGTTGTGAATTCCAATATTGGGAGTTTTCTGACCAAAAACAATATCTGGAGGTTTTTGATTCTCTCAACCCCATTTATCAAAGAGAGGATGTTCAAATTATCTGCTAAAGTGCTCAGATGTGCTTGGAAGCAACTTGAAGGAACAATGGCTACTACCTATTATTGTTGTGGTTCCTGCGAGGCTACCAGAGACGCACTTTCTGTTGTTACCTTATTCGAGTTCTTAACAGTTGTTGCAAGCAACAACATGCTCTGCCACTGTGGCACTGAGTCCTGAGATACCAGCTAGATGGGTTTCTGTCAAATAGACCACCTCTTGGTTGGGATGGTAATTAAATGTGGAGGTTCATGACAAACCAGGTGGAAGAACCTTAACAACCACCCTGCTTATTTCTCTACACTTGACTGCTTTATTTATTTGCATTATCTGCAATCACGTTAACAGCAAAATAGATCAAAGTGGCATCTATGGAGGGTTCAGAACCTTGAAGCGAATTGCATATGGAAATTGCAGTTATTAGTATGAGTAATACTCCATATTTTTCCAGTATCATTGTCAAATTCTTAACCTAAGGTTCCCTCTAAGCAAAATTTGGTTTTTGAAATAGCTTAAAAGTATTAAGTTTTTTCTACCCAGTGACTTTCAAGAAGTTAAACTTTTTCTTCTTTTGATTCTTTTCTTTTTTATGGGATTGTTTTGAAGGTTGTTAGTAGATGTATTCCACACGCATATTGGTGAGTGAGAGTTTGAGATACTTCTGAACACCTCCCTGCTATGGTTCATGAATTTCTTTGCAGTTTATAATACCATCTTTTTCCTTGTCTTATACAACCGTGTTTACATTTCTTCTTGTTGTTAATGATTATTATTCCCAAATAACCAAGGTTCCATGATGTAAGAGGTCATCAAATGGTTTCAGGGTGTATATCACTGTGGTTATCACTCCGAGAAATCATATGGAGCAGCTTCCTATTTGATTGTTCATCCTGAAGGAAATATTCTTGTAGACAGGTTCATTGAATTTCATCACATCAGAGAAGATTTGTATATCCAATTTTGAATTTTGACCATATAGTTAACTTAAGAAGTAAGTGTTTGAAAAAGAAATAAATAAAATTTGGAAGGGAAGGGGGAGGGCAAGGGTAGCTGCCTTCTTGTATAGCTGCAAGTTTGGGTGAATGTGACTGTAATCTAGACGAATCCTGCTACCATTATGTTTTGCAGTCCTAGATACACGGAGAGACTGGCACGTAATATTGAGATGATGGGTGGTGCTCGGTACATGTTTCTCACACACAGGTATGATGAGAAAATCGTAAGCAAAAATTCAATTTGGGTAAATTTCTCAGATTAAGTTTTTTTTTTTTTATCACCGATCAGGGATGATGTTGCGGATCAGGATAAGTGGTCAAAGCGGTTAAGCTGTCACAGAATTCTCCACTCACAAGATGTATTATGATTTTATTCTTTTAGCCTGTATTTACCTGTATTTTTTGTTTTTTCTTTTGTTCTTGGAGCTTGTGTACTCACTCACAAGGTGGGTACAATCTTGTTTGGATATGTAATTTTTTTATTGAAAAATTGAGGGTGGTCCAGGCACCCCTTGGCCCAATTGTAGATCCACCCTTGCCCATGCACAAAGAATGCAAATTCATCATGTTTCGGACAGTTGACTTCGAGCATGTCCAATGTTTCTCCTTGTAAATTATCAGATGTGAGAGAGTGGGTTACCTATCACTTTGACTAAATTGTCGTGCATTTGTGATTTTCACCTGCTTCTTGTTATTCTGGACTTGTCAGGTAGATTCTTCCACAGCTGATGTAGAGACTAAGCTAGAGGGAAGTGGCCCATGGAACCTTGGTGATGACATCAAACTAATACACACTCCAGGCCACACAGCAGTGAGTCAATTTGTTTACCATTTTTTTTTTAATTTTTCTTTGATTTGTACCATAATCGGTGGACAGAGTTCTATATCCATTTATTTGATGAATAGATCTATGTCCTTCATCTGATGAATTCTACGTGATCTGGTTCTTTCAATTTACCACAACTCAGATAGTGGATTAGGGGCTTGTTGATGAAGTTGTACAAGTTTATTTCTTTCCTGACCTTTTGCATTCATCAAACACTTCAATATAATAATCACTGATACCTATTTCTATTATTTTATCACAAATAATGGCAGGGATCAGTCTGCTTGTTTCATGAGTCACTTAAGGTGCTATTCACTGGGGACCATCTGACGATGGATGAGTCCGGGCTAAGCATTATGGACGGATACAATTGGTTTTCAGGTATGAACACTTAAAACAGTCCCTGAAAAATGAAAAATTATCACTTGGTTCCAACCTAGACATATGTAGCTCTTGCTTTATGGCGGCTGAACCCCCTCCTGGGAGCAGGGGAATGAGAATAAATATGTTCAAATATGTTGACTGTGATAATATCCAAAGAGAGCTGAGAGGTCATTACCTTAGTGGCAACTGTTTAGTGATGGTTATCATCTCTCTCTCTCTCACTTATGCATCACTTAACCATTATGTTAGCCGGTCATCCTTTCTAGTTTTCTAACAATGTTTTCTTTGACATATAGTAATCTATTGGTTTTCTCCTATTTGTGGTCGACAGTACCAATGCAATTGAACAGTGTCAGGGTGTTGCTTGGATTGGATTTTGAGTGGATATTACCAGGTTGGTATGGTTAAGTTTTACAATGTGCAAGCATTGATTATTTTTTAACTTTTGCCGGCTTGTGTCGCTTTCAATGGTCATTCTGAGACTTTTTTGCATTATTTTGCAGGTCATAGAAGGAGAGTTGAATTCAAGAATGTTGAGGAGAAGAATTTAATTTTGGAAACCTTCATAGCTTCCAAAATGCAGAAGGCTTAAAACTGCAGCTGTTGTCCTTGCCTATTAATGCGTTGCAGAAATGTGTGTACAGTCTCTTATGTTGTGAAGTTATACGTTGTTGAAGAAGAAATCAATCATAATGCTTATTATCTTCATGTAACAATCTGCAGTCTGCCTGAGTTTTTGCTGAATTTTATTTGTTGGAAACGAAACACAATTGAACTTTTATCCGAAAAATTATAGCACAAATCACTAGAACCAGAGTCATAGGGCACTTTTTGTTTTTCCTTTAAGTCCAAGGATGACCCCTATGTTTTTTTTGGTGGAGACCACAATTCTCCTTAATTGGCGAGAGTATATACAATTTATTCTATTGAGTATTACATCACTTTAATACTCAATAAACTACCCCGATTTCCATGGTCGATGGTCATAAAATGGCGATAGAAGCACCAAAAGCTGCGGTAGAATTTATTTTCCGGGAAAAAAAAGAAAATGATTGGTGAAATTGACCGCATAAATTTACCTGGTGAGCTTCTTTTTGTTGCAGTATGTCTTTCACTTCAACTGTTGTTGGACAAGGAATATGTTATGCTGTTGGAGAAGGAAATTTCATTGATGATGAGTTCTATTTATTCTCTTTTTACAGTTTCTTCCCCGCACTATTAATAAGTGTAAGTATGAGTATAGTATAAACCAGGCTTAACAATAATTGATGCAACATCAATTGCAAAAATTCTAAAAAGTTCGGATGCATAAAATGTACCTAGTCACAATTTTGATTTGATTCAATTTTCTCCTCCTCCTCAAATATTTTAAGATGAGCGATGCTAGATGAATTTAAAAAGTAGATTTGATAATTACAATCATTGATTTTACTGTGAATTCTAACATTTATTGGGACTCACTACCTATTCAATAGTTGAAATTATCAAGTTTAGTTTTTAAGTTTAATTTTTAAATTCATCTAACAATACTCTTTTAAAATTTAAGTTTACAACTATTAATGGGCTGTCTCCGAATAACTTTGTATTTTTCTTAAATTTATTTAACTCATACATGGTTCGTTTATAATGGTGTATATTCAATCCAAAGTTCCAAACACGATTATGTCAATCACTGCACAGAGAAAAACTGTAAGCAACTATTCTCTTTGTGGAAAGCTATTTTTTTTTGGTGATAAAATCTAACCTTTTTGGTGTAACAAGTGTCATAGTAAACAATTGTGGGAGAGATAAGTCTACCGTATCGATTCCGTACTGTAAATTACTAAAAAAGGGTAATTAGTTTAGCATTCTTTTTCTTTTGTATGTAAAATCAGCTGTTCGTATATTCACAACCGCTCAAATGAAAGTAAACGGAGAAAGTCTCTCTCTCTTTCTCTCCTCATACAAATCTCTCAAATATGAAGAAATCCAAAACCTACCACCAAAAAAAGAACGGTTCCTCCTCTTTTCTCTCACATCCCCTCCTCTTATAAAAAGGGCCCACCTGCCCACACATTCAAATTGTCACACACCAAGAGAAAGTCAAAAAATGGCAAAGGCTATTGCCCTCATCGCCTCTGCCCTCTGCATCCTGGCCCTTGCAGGTTTTGCACAATGCCACCAAACAGAACAACTTTTCAATGTTGAGGGCAAGGTTTATTGTGACACATGTCGTGTCCAGTTCCACACGAAAATCAGCCAAAACATTCCAGGTAAATCCATACCTTATGACAGTTTTTGGTTTTAATCATACGTTCTAACATCCATGAGTTTATGTTTTACGGGTGATATCCGGATTTAATTGGGTTTATGAGTGATTACATTATCCACCTTGACTGATTGATTTCGTTATGTTTCTTTGAGTTTAATGTTTTGTTTCCAAAATAACCATAAACTATGAGCCAAAAGGGCACGTTGATCTTTGTCCCAAATTTGTTTTAATATTTGTGAAGTCAAAACGTATGATTGAAATGATTCTCGAAAAAAAAAAAATTATGCATGGCATCATGGGGTCAATATAGATCTCCTAAAACAAGTTTTTACTTGATTGTGCAGAGGCCAAGGTGCGCTTGGAATGCAGACACCGCCAGCTCGGGAAGATCACTTACTCAGTCGAAGGTGTCACCGACGCCACCGGCCACTACAGCCTTCCAGTGGCCGGAGACCGTCAGGAAGACATCTGCGAAGTGATGGTCCTAGAGAGCCCCCAGGCCGACTGCAACGAGCCCATGAAAGGGTTGGATCGAGCCCGCGTTTTGTGCACTGAGAACGGTGGCATGACCAGCAAGGTCCGCTATGCCAACCCTCTCGGGTTCATGAAGAAGGAGGCTCTCTGCGGCTGCAAGGAGGTCCTTGATGCACTGGGTTTCTTGCCCATTCAATACTGAAGATTCATTAGGCCTTTGCCTCTGAGAAAAGAATAAAGATTTGACTTCTCATTTGTATGTGTGTGTATTTTATGGGCAATTTGTGAGAAAGTGAATGGTAAGAGAATGGGATATTGGCGTTTGGTGAATGTTTTGGTGTGGTATTTTGGGTTACTAAGTTTCTTTAATTTTTAATCTTTGGTAATGGGAAAATGCCAAACAATTCAAATGAAACTTAAAAAGTGCAACTTAAATGTATATCATTTATTGAACGGGTGTTGGATGAGTGAGGTCCACTGAAAAAGTTGATGGGTGATGATACCACAAAATATCTAAGGATGAGTTCAGCTCTCCAGGTCAGCTAGGTTGGGAGCTCAGTTCATCAGCACCTCAAATGGACCTCGACCTCAGACTTCAATTCCCTGTATCCAGACATCAAGGAGGATTGTTTAAAGGATAGTTGTATCCCACTAAGTTACCCATTCTTTTAGGTGCCAATCACCCAATTGGAACAAGTTTCACTGCGCAATAAATGGGAATTATAATAGCTAAGGAGCGAGGATCTTGCCCAAGATCAAGTAGACCCTAGGAATATCTACAAAAAACGAGGCAAAGCCCTCTAGAAGCAGACAACCATTGTAGCCTAGCAAAATACTCTTTGTAAACAAAATGTCATCAATCAATACATTGAGGAGCAAGAGACTCTATTGAGAGTAGATTAGTCGAACTCTCGAGCTAGTGAACCACTATAAACACTCTGTGTGATCCCCCTTCCCCAATTATCCAAAAATCCCCAAGAGCCTTGGAGCTTAGATTAAATCAGATCTCATCATTTAGTGCACTTTAATCCCTAGCACTGTTCAATTGTGTTAGAAACACCATCAGTTTTGTGTCGTCTGTGGGAACGATTGTTCCTGTTACAAATACACTGATTTTTTTCAGTAATTGATGGTCTTTATGCGCAATATGAGTAGAAGCTAGTTGAACCCTCCACGGATGCAGAACCAGTAGGCAACCACCAATGGAAGACAACAAAAAAATCCTCAAAGACTTCCTACCCACTACTGAGACTAATCCTCCCAAGACGGACCTCCCTCTGAATAACAAACTGGAAGCATTTCGTTTAATCAATCAGCGTCTGTTGCAACAAAACAAAGAACTCTTGAAACTCTTACAACGTCCTCAGAAGACACGGCCAGCCCAGGATGATCCCCCACAAGGGGAGCATCACACCTTGATCCTGTGAGATCCTAGTATCCCACATCGGTTAGGGAGGGGAAAGTGACTGGGCTTATTAGTAAGCTCCTTGCCTTACATGGCATAAGACATTTTTCCAAGAATACTGGGAACAGCAAAATCGTGAGGGCAAGTGAGCCCAAAACGGACAATATTATGCCATTTGGAGGGGGGTGTTACAAGTTGGTATCAAAGCCGACTCTTGCCTGGATCGAGTGTAGGCCCCTGACGTGCTCGCATGTAGTGGGCAGACAGGTAGCTAACGAGCTGCTGCACGGGGATGTGCAGCCCTAAGGGGGTGGATTGTGAGATCTTGGTGTCCCACATCGGTTAGGGAGGGAAAAATGATTGGGCTTATTAGTAAGCCCCTTGTTTTACATGCATAAGGCATTTTTCTAGGAATACTGGGAGGAACAAAGCCGAGAGGGTCAGTGGGTCCAAAACGGACAATATTATGCCATGTGGAGGGGGTGTTACAGATCCCCTAAGGGAGGTTAATAAAGAGGGCGAACATAACCAAGCCATGGGCCATGTTCCTTATCCATCTCCCAGGAATGAAGATAACGAAGAAGTGCAAAGTCAGAACGAGGGAATCAAGAAAAATGAATTCCTCCCTTTCTGGCAAAAGCTCAGTTACATGAAGGAAGCTATGAGAGGTAAGATCCCAGTAACAATGGACACCCTACTGCAGCAGACTGAGGCCCCATTCATTGCTGATATACTACATTTTTCCCTTCCTCCAAAGTTTAGAATGCCCCAAATGGATGCCTTTGATGGGACAAAATATCTCATGGATCACCTCAACACATACAAGAATCAAATGGAGTTGCATGGGTATGAATACCCTGTACGATGCCGAGCCTTTACCATCACGTTGAAAGGTTCAGCCTTGGCATGGTTCAATAGGCTAGCCCCGTGGTCCATCTCCTCCTTCAAAGAGCTTTCCATATCTTTCGTGTCACACTTCATAAGAGCTTGGACCTATCGAAAGTTGAGCTACCACCTGCTGAATATGAAACAAGGACCCAACGAGAACCTATGGTTTTACGTCCAAAGGTTCAACTCAGAATCGCTAAAGATGTACATCCCTGATGAAAAGTTCTTCATTACTACCTTCATCGCAGGGTTAGGAGTACAGTTGAAAGATTTAATGTTCTTCATATCGAAAAATCCACAAGTCAGTATGGCAGAGGTGCTTGCCAAAGCATAAAAGTACATTAATGGCGAAGAGGATCTCCTTTCTAAAACGGAGAACTCCTCCATGCAGAAGGAGAAAGGGAAGGAAGAGAAAAAGAGGAACTGAAGCCTTAGAAAGGAAAAAGGCAGAGACAAACCTCCAAAAAGAGACAAAGATTGTTCCCCCAAAAGAAGGGGAGATGTCAGGGATTGACTAGGTCATGCGCAGCCAGAATTACAGCTAAGGTACGCACCTCAGCAGCTCACTCCACTTACAAGTACAATATCCCAAATCCTCTATGAAGTATAGAATGAGAAGTTCCTGAGATGGTCACCTCAGATGAAAATAGGCCCAGCAAAAAGAGATACAAGAAAATACTGTGAATACCACAGGGACCATGGTCACCTCACTAATGATTGCATCTAACTGAAAAAGGAAATTGAGTTCTTGTTTCAGCGAGGACAGTTGCACCGTTTTGTGGCATATGATAATCAGAATAGGGCTCACCCTCCTCCAGCACCTCAGTAACAAACCCCTGCACAACACTAGTAGCCAATGAGAGAGATCATGATGATCTCTAGAGGATTTACTGGAGGAAGAGAAACTAGCTCAGCTAGAAAAGCCCACGTGTGCAAAGTCAGGATCAAAGAAATATGGGAGGTAAATACTGTGACCAAGGCACCACGGATGAACATGGATATCACTTTCTCATATTCAGACCTGATAGGGTATCAATACCCCCATGATGACCCCTTGGTGGTAAAAGTGATCATTGCAAACAAGACAGTTCATCAGGTTCTAGTCGACAACAGGAGCTCTGCCGATATAATCTTTGCATCTACCTTCGACAAAATGGACATAGACAGGGACAAACTCGAGCCAGTAAGAACTCATCTTCTAGGATTTTCAGGGGAGAGAGTACTACCCCCTGGGGTCAATTCAACTCATCTTCCTCACCCTAGGGAGCCCGCATTGCCAATCCACCATCGCGGTAAAGTTCCTAGTACTCGATGCCCCCTCAATATATAATGTCCTGCTAAGGAGACCTTCCCTCAATGCCATGAGAGCCATCCCCTCTGCATACCACCTGGTTATAAAATTCCCTTCTGAAAATGGCATTGGAATGGTCTGAGGAGACTAACAAGTGGTGAGGGAATGCTACATGGTATCAATGAAAAGAAAGGATGTTGATGTCATTCAGTTGGATGAGCTGGACATGAAGGCTGAGCTAGAGTCAAGACCTACACCCTCGGAGGAGCTAGAGCCTATCCAGCTTGACGAGGAGCTAGAGCATACAGTGTATGTGGGGTCAAAGCTGCCTAAAGAGCTCAGGGACCTCCTTGTTCAGTTCCTTAGGAGGAATATGGGGGTATTTCCTTGGAAGAAAGAAGATGTGCAGGGAAAAGACCCCCTTAGTCATCACGTACAAGCTCAGCATGAACCCAGCCTACTAACCCATCAAACAAAAAGGGAGGAGTTTTGCCCCCAGAACGCCAAAAGGCAATTAACAAAGAAGTCAACAAACTTCTCCATGCCAAAGCAATCAGGGAGGTGGATTACTTGACCTGGTTAGCTAACATGGTCCTTGTTAGAAAAAAAATGGCAAATAGCGCCTATGCATCGACTTCACTGATCTGAACCGAGCTTGTCCCAAGGACAGTTTTCCACTACCTTGAATAGACTTAATCGTGGACGCCATGGCTGGACACGAGTTCCTCAGCTTCATAGACGCTTTCTCAAGGTATAATCAGATCAAAATGGACCCCAGTAACCAGGAGAAGACGTCGTTTGTAATTGAACAGGTAGCGTACTGTTACTAAGTCATGTCATTCAGATTGAAGAATGCTGAAGCTACATATCAACGACTAGTAAACCGAATGTTCTGGAAACAAATTAGGTCATCAATCGAAGCGTACATTGATGACATGGTTATGAAATCATTGAAGGCTGAACTCCACATAGAGCACCTTGAGGAGTCCTTTCAAATCCTCAAGGACTACTAGATGAAGCTTAATCCAGCCAAGTGCACCTTCGGGGTCTCAATAGGGAAATTCCTTGGCTTCATAGTCAACAGTAGAGGAATTAAAGCAAACCTAGAAAAGGTCAAGGCAATAATAGACATGCAGCCTCCTTCCAACACTAGAGAGGTCTAGCACCTAACAGGAAGAATAACAGCTCTGAGTCGCTTTATGTCTAGGTCAAGCAACAAATGCTAGCCTTTCTTCTAAATTTTTAAAAAGGCGTTCCAGTGGGATACTCGATGTAATGAAGCATTTAGGTCCCTAAAAAATTATCTAAGCTCACCCCTGATTCTAGTAAGTCCTTTGGAGGGGAAAGTACTCACCCTCTGCCTCGTTGTTTCAGATTTCTCAACCAGTGCAGCACTAGTAAGAGAGTGAGATAGAGCCCAACAACCAATCTACTACTATAGCCGAGCTCTGAGGGGGGGGCAGAGGAGAGATATTCTAAGATGGAGAAACTAGTCCTAGCATTGGTTACGGTCGCGAGAAGACTCAGACCATACTTCCAAGCTCACACCGTTGATGTCCCAATAGACCAATCAATGAAGCAGGTATTGCATAAACTAGAGTCTTCAGGGAGACTGGTCAA